AAAAGAAAAAAAACAGTATCTCGGTTAATTGATTAATAGATTATTAAAATCATTAAAAGATACCATTAATTATTTATATTTGATAAATATTCTGTATAATGAAAAACGAAAAGAATGTGTAAACAAAGACGTAATTGAATTCATCCGTGAAAGTTAGTCGACTTTTTTATTTGGCAAATTCATCAATGATATTTTTTATATCTAGTTGTTGAGTGATATTCTTATGAATAGTGATAGTAGCTAAATAACGAAGTCTTTCATCACTTGTCCTATTGCGTCCATAAGTTTTATTTAGCTTGATGACCAAAAATAAACACTCGGCAGTGGCCACCGACGTCTGAATTTGGATGGTGAGAATAACTATTGATGTATGTGGTTGCTTAAATAATAATATCTTTACGATGTTCTCATTTTTCATCATTTGATAAATAATTAATAGTATCTTTTAATGATTTTAATAATCTATTAATCAATTAACCGAGATACTGTTTTTTTTCTTTCTCTGAAAATAGAACACAGTACCGATGATAACCTCCTTCATCCTTTTACGAATATGTTAGTCAAGAATATTTGGCTAGTCGTAAGTATTAGCAAACTGATCGAATTTTTGCATTTTTTTTTTTGACTTTTGAAAAAAAAAATAATCTGGCGATCAAGCCCATGCTTCTGTTTAACAATCGATTTAATGATGAAAAATCCTTCGTAGCTAGCTGATCATCATCCTTGACAACTACATTAATAATGATAGTAAAATTTTGATTAACAGATAATGAAGAAATAATAGCTGAAACTTATTTGTTATTATCGATTTCAAGCTCGTTATTGTTATCTATATCACTCATAGATCTCTTGTTCAATACGATACATGTACTAATTTCTTTTCAGTTTGTATTGATTATGTTTCTTTTTTGTTGATAAATGTTTGCTAAAAATATATTATGTTAATACTGTTATATGTAAATCATAAAGTACAAAAAAATATTTGTGACTATTTGCGTCATAGATATATTTGACATTAATTATAGCAAACAAAGTATTGGCACAATTTACATTGACTATTGGACAAAAAAAAAATGTCGATGCAAATACAAACATTATTAATTGATGATATAAATTTTTCTTTCGAAAGAATGGATTGATCCTTCAATGAAAGTCTTTGATCCGATTCAACGTCAGGCTACTAGTTGTTTCCTTTCAATTGAATGTGTAAAAATCAATTTTACTTTTAAGTCTGAAAGCTCGCAGTAATATTCTTCTAACCTTGCATCATCTGTTGGATAATAATGTGCAGAAATTTTAATTTTCTGAAAATAGAAATTATCATGCCTCCTGTATATGTAACTAATAATAAACAGGAATGAGTAATACGTTATAACAATGATTAATAATGTAAATGGGTATGAGTCTTCTTTTAACCCATAGTCAAATCTCTAGATGCAATGGAATATTTAGATGGTTTGTTCTTTCTGATTACGAAACGAACATACAAAAAGAAAAAATTTTGTAAATCTTTTCTTCATGTATTTATTGACTTGAATATGATCTTTGGGAAGGTATTAGCCGCATATCACAAATAAAAAGTATATTTTGCTGATGAAAATTTTCTCAAAAGATTTTCAACTTTTTTCTATTTAAATATTTTGATATTGATCTTCTTCGATATTTTTACTTTTGATACTTTCATTTTTCATATGAAACGATGTTCTATGGAATTCCCTAGAAATTGATACAATAGCGATTTCATCTAAAATTGATAGACGAAACGTAGAATAGGTGATAATATGTATGATCGACTTTCAAAACATGTTTTCACAAATATTGAAGTCTTTTCTGTAGCATCGAAATAAATATGAATAAACAATAGAATGTGTAAAAGAGAAATCATTCATTTAGAGACTATCAATAATCCAAGAATTTTTCTCGCACTACTAAACGAGAGAATTAGGATTAAGCACGACAAAATGGACATGAGTTTCATCCATTAGTTACAGTTCTGAAGATCAAGTTGATGATGCATATTATTAACTTGTCTAGTCTTTTATTCATCACTTTTAGATTGAGTCGTTTTGATATCAAGTTGTAAAGAATTTCATCCTGCATTCTTTTTAATAACAAAAGAAAACCTGGGCAATAGAACCCGAGCGAGATAGTAAAAAAGAGAATAACAGAGATATCTATGCTGGTACTACAGCCGATGTGATGGTGCTAGCGGCGGATTTCCAGTCATAATGAACATTTTTGATTTTGTAATTTTTCTTAGTATCTTTTTTAGTAAGTTGTTAATATATTTTTTATATTATTAAATAGAATGAAATTTGTTTTTATTTTATTAATTTAAAGATCGTTTAGAAACAAAATACGATCTTTGGCTTGACTTTTTTTTATTTTCTTCTTTTTTTTCTCCTGTAAAAACAAAATCAAAATAACAAAAAACGAGATTGATTAACAATAAAACAATCGTTTCTGTTAGTTTGTTTGAAGATGTTTTGTAACAATAACACGTAATGGTTCATTAAGTGTTTGCATTACTTGAACAAAAGCAACACTATGTTTTGTATAGATTGAACGAAGAAATTCACGAATTACTGGAACAGCATCTATATATATATAAAATAAATGTAATATATATATATATAGATTAAAAGAATTTTACCAGGTAAAACACGTTCATCATCAATCAATGATGCTGCCATTTCGATAGATTTTGGAAGATATGGTTCAATCTATTAAACAGATTTAAAAAGAAAAAGATTGTTGTATAAAAATGTAAAAAAACAATGATACTTGAGTGAAATATTGTTCGTAGAGTAGATTGAGACAAGTGAATATAGAATTAGCTTCTGCAAAATCTTCCCGAATTGGTAAATGTTGAAAAAGAACAGGTAAAACCTAAAGAAAAATACATGATGTTCACTTTTATATTCAGGATATATGTTGCACGCAGGATTCGTAAAATTATTATTTTTTTCCTCAAGAAAACAAAACTATTTCTAAGCAGGAAATAAAATCATCATTCTTTACAACAGTCGGAGAAAATTAGAGAATATAATGCTTTATTTTTCTCTGATTTTCCTTTTGAAAATATCTAGAAAATTATTCGAATAGGTCATGGAGTCTACCTGAAACATATACATCGCTCTGATTTTTCAAACCATTCACAGGCCTGATAAAAAGCTTAAAATAGACAGACTACCTGACTGTTATGTTTTTGTGAAACACGATCTAACACATGTTGAAGTATAGAAGTAGATATTTGGATCCATTTCCTTAGAATCTTTCTCTCAAAGACGTGATTGATATACAATCACAGACTGTATATGAATAACGTCTCATCATATACAGTGGCTCCAAAAATTATTCATACAGGTGTAATTTCGATTTTTTTCCCTAATGGTAACTTCTATGAAGAATCCAAATAGTGATTTGGATAGAGAAAATTGTTTCCAACAAAGGTCCCAGAAAGATGAAATTCTCATCTTATTCCCCAAAACCAGAATCTTTGGAAAACCGAAAACCTATTTTTTCAGCACCCAGACCCCGAAAATAAAAGTTTGTTTTGATTACACAGGGTGATAGAGCAACGAATTCTCTACAAAATGAGATGTCTCCGAGCTCTCCATGACAATTTTTTACTGAACTGCATCAGTTTTAAGAAACACTCAAAAATGGTATTTTCACCATTTCCTATGGGAAAATCGGACAAAAAGCACTTTAGGGTGTTCCTTAAAACTGATGCAGTTCAGTAAAAAATTGTCATGGAGAGCTCAAAGACATCTCATTTTGTAGAGAATTCGTTGCTCTATCACCCTGTGTAATCAAAACAAACTTTTATTTTCGGGGTCTGAGTGCTGAAAAAATAGGTTTTCGGTTTTCCAGAGATCCTGGTTTTGGGGGATAAGATGAGAATTTCATCTTTCTGGGACCTTTGTTCGAAACAATTTTCTCTATCCAAATCACTATTTGGATTCTTCATAGGAGTTACCATTAGGGAAAAAAATCGAAATTACACCTGTATGAATAATTTTTGGACCCAGTGTATCTATTCGAAACGTAAGTGTCCTATAGCAGCTTTCACGGGCTATGTGGATTTTTCGGTTCTATCTTTACGAAACTTGGTGTAGGAAAATTAGCAACCGATTATAGTTTTCAGATTTTATTTGTATCGAAATTTCATTACGACGTCCATCAATTGCAAGCGTACTGTGTCATTAGAAAGCGCTTAAAAGGAAAATTTTGAGTGACTACTTAATGTAGTCATACATTTAATAATTCAATCTAGAGAATAATTTTTTCTGAATAAAAGACTCGTTTAAAGTTTTTCTAAGCACTTTTGTACATGGATCAATTTTTATTCATATAAGCAAACTTATGCTAAAGTTTGAAAACGTTTCTTTTTTATAAACTAGTGTTTAGCAATTGAAATTTACTTCTTTTTTTCAGATATATTATTCTCTCGCTTTTAATCTATTAGACAACTATACGGGAAAGACAATAGATATCGAACATTGACGGATAACAGCTAGAATATGTTATCAACATGTTTCTATCGTAAACTGAATCTGTTTCTTACCCATGAATACATAAATTCTCAACAGGTAACATAAAGGTAAAATTCAGACAGTTGCTTTCCGAACATTTCTCTTCATAATCATTTTGCATTTACCTACGCCTCTCTTTGGCAAGTGAAAAATAATTGTTAAAAGATCTAACAACAAATAAGATGACATGAAAAGCAAAGAAAGGTAATTATTAACCAGCGCAGGATTTTTAGATGCTGATGATTTGTTAAATTAATTCTGCAAATTATATTTATAGTACGTGTGAATGAATGAAGCTGTGATCGCGAATACCGACGTGCAAGCCGAATCGAGCTTCACATTTATTCTCAGAGGCAAACGGCCGATGAAGGAGACATATTGCAGGAGCAACGACTTAGGATGTAACGTTTATGGGTTCTTTGAACTGTCTTAGGCCAAGAATATCTGACTGATAAAAATAAAGATATTTTTCAGTATTTACTGATTCTAGAGAATATGTTTCTTCTCATCTACAATGTGACAGAAAAAGAACGGACACACAAAACTTTATCTCACTAATCTAACAATTAAAATGATATAAAATAAAATAATCACTAATGAGACAGTGAAAGCTGATGTCCTTCTTTTTTGCATAACTTGATTGCCTTTCTTGTGGCTCATTTCGTAGAATATAACAAGGATCTGACTGTGTAATATATGATTACTCTCAGTTTCGTATTATTGGATACACCTTTTAAGTTACATCGAATAAGCATATTTCTCAGCTTTTCATATGGTGGAAACCGTGCAAAAAGGCTAATTTTCTGCTAAGGAGACAATTTTTTTCTATTAGTATGAAATTTTCAAAATTTTTGAGTACCTTTTTTGAGATTTTTGTTCAGATAGAGGAAGGAAAAATTAGAACTACTCTCACCTTAGAGAAGAATTATTCTTCAAATACTAATATGAAACTCATAAAGTGAACAGCGATACATGTTTGAGCGTTATTGATACTTCGATAAAAATTGGAAAATATTTGCATGATTTTATTTTATTATTCATTATTTAAGCTTTCATTATATGTACAAAAACAATTTCTTTTTTAATAAAAGTTTTCATAAATTGTTATGATTCTCAGTTCTATGAAGTATTTCTTCAAACATCGGCGTGAAGACTAATGAAGTTCAACAGTAAACAAAATTTTCTTTTCTTTCAGTATTATTCATATTTCTGTTAGTGATACGAAAAAAAATACCTGGTTTCTATTTGGTTATTCCTGTTTCTGCCTTTTGCCGCAATCTTGTTAAAAGCATAAATTATCAAAAAAAGAGAATTTTATTTATAGGTGAATGCCATATGTCGTCAAGCCGGTATCTAAAGAATTACCTCGTCGAGTTGAGATGCATCACAAAATTTGAAACTTCTAAATTAAGTAAATTGCTAATATTCGTCTAATCAAAACTTGATTAAGAAAAGAAGAAAATTAGTTATGTTAAAAAGCTAATACAACTTCTAATCAAAATTGAAATATTGAAATATCTTGATTTTCTCATCATACATGTACCAATCTTTTTCTACAGCTCTAATTTTAAGTTTAAAATGTATATTTTCTAAAAAGACTAACGCTTAATATACCATGCAGTGCTACGCTAAATATGTTTGTCAACTAATTTACAGATATCTATTGACATTGATCAGTTAACGTATAATCTCTTATTTCATGG